CTTGCCCATGATGGGCATGAAGCTGGCGGGCCGGGGTGGGGCGAGGTGAGGCGCTGGGTCTGCACGCGATGCTGCACGCATGCTCCACTCGAGACACGGAGCGACGGCCGGAGGAGAATGGCGGCAGAGGGAGGAGAGAGGCAGAGGGAGGAGAGAGGCAAGCTTGAGGGCGAGTCACTGCCTGCCCGCAAATGTCTGGTTGTCGTCAAACAGGTTCGGAAACAGCCTGGCGGGACGCGTCCGGGGCATCTCAAGGAGGCTGCAGTGGGCGGCGCGTAGTGGGGCCCGAGCTGCGCAGCGACGGCGGGAGTGTGGGACGTAGCACGGAGCGTGAGCCGGCGAGGGAGGCGCGGGAGGTGTCTCGGAGGTGTCTCGGACCAGATGCCGCGGAAGCCGACGATCCACATCAGGATGAAGAGGCCGAGCCGAACGACGCAGAGCACGCCAAAGGTGGTGAGGAAGGTCACGCTGCACCACCACACCCCGATCTTCATCCAGAGGGGCCAGATCTGCGGCAGGGCGGTGGCGGTGCGGGCGGTGGCGGTGCGGGCGGTGGCGGTGCGGGCGGTGGCGAGGGCGGCGTTGGTAAGGGCGGCGGCGGCGACGGCGGCGGTAAGGGTGGCAGCGAAGTGTGAGGGCGGTGGCGAGATGCCATGCGGTGCGGCCATGAGGAGAGCGGTCGGCGAGTGGAGAGGAGCGAGAGGCAGCGTTGAGGAGAGCGGCGGCGGCGGCGGCGAGAGGCGGCGGTGGTGAGGGCAGCGACGGCGAGGAAGAGGAGAGCGAAGAGGATGGGAGTGACAGGCGGCCGCACGCCCGCCTGGATCATGCACATCCCCAGCGCGCCTGCTCACAGCCGGGAGAGTGTGAAGCGCTGCGCGTCTTCACTGGTCACAGTCCGGGCAGGCAGCGTCTCGGCGCACCAAGCAGCAGCAGCCCCGTCAGCAGGTAGAGCTTCGTCTTGGAGCCCTCGTACACCCACGTGTACAGCCCGTCCTCCTCGAAGGGGCCGTTCGTCATCTCAAGCTCCCACCGCCGCGAATGCGCGTGCGCCACGCGCTGAGAGCGGTGGAAGTACCCCTGCGGGGCGGGGCAGAGAGGCGGAGCACACGCTTGAGAGAGGTCGTCCCTCTCCCTCGCGCCGCTGGCTCGCCGGAACGCATGCCACCGGGACCATGGACGCATCCGACGCGCACGCTGCCTGTCTCTCCCTCCTGCTCGCTAACGGCGCGCCTGGCTGAGCAGCGTCTGGCCAATCTTTGCCGCCTCGGCGCGAGACTTGACTGGAGACTCCTTTGCAACCTTGCCCGTGTACTTTGGGCCGACGAGGGCGTCGATGAGCTTGGCGCCCTTGAAGTACTCGACGCGCTGCGGACACGAGCGCCGAGGAGGGGCGGTGAGCGCTGGGCCTGCACGACGGCAGCGGCAGCGGCAGTGAGCGATCCCGCGCCTTTTCGTACTGCACGGCCTCCTTGGTGCGGAGGCCGCTGCCCTTCTCGTTGCGCAGGAAGTCGGCCACCGCGCGCGTCGCGGTGTCGTCCTTGTGGCCAGGCTCGGGCATCTGGCAGAGGGAGAGCGACTGTCTCAGTGCTTGTGTACACTCTGCTCGAGTGTTGCCGCCCTGCCGCGCTGCGGTGCAGAGCACCGCAAAAAAGGTGTGGGCGCGAAGGCGTGCGGCGGCGCAGCACGCCTGGCCCCTTCGCATCTGCTGTTGCCGTCGCGAGGCCATGCTAGAGCGTCAGTGTCAGCTCAGCGCTTCTGAGCTTCTGACAGCGCGCGAGCAGACTCTTCAGGAAAACGAGAAATCGTTGTCCCAAGTGCTCCAAGGCTCCAAGATCCGCCGTACGACCAACCGAGACAATGGTGCGCTCGCTCGCCCCGCCCGCGCCCGCGGCGGCCCGCGCGTGCGCGCGCGCGGTAGTAGGAGTAGGCTGCGGGTCGTACCGAACCGGTGGGTCACCACCGGTCTCTGGTCCCCGGGAGCAACGAACCGCGCAGCCACACAATGAGCGCAAAACAGCAGCACCTTCAGCGAGAAGGAGAGCACCAGCCGAGGCGCTGCCAGGATGGGCCGAGGAAGGCCACCGCGCACGTCGGCCCCACGAAACGGTGACATAGAGACAGGAGCAGCACATGGAGCAGCACCACCAGCACCACCAGCTGCAGAGCCAGAGGCGCCTCACAGCCCCGGTCGTGTAACGTCCGTTCCGGGCATTTGAACGCGACCTTCGGGGGCAAGGACATGGGCTCTATGGCTCAGACTGGACTCCTCTTGGTCCCCGGTCTGATGCCCTAGGCCACACCTGGGCCTTACTTGGAGCTCTAGGGGGTGGGCAGGGTTTGGCCCCCCAACTGGCCCGAGGCACCTTAAGAGGAAGATTCGCGCGAGCTGAATTCCTATGTCTGTACAACTGTATCGCGAAGAAGAAGAATTTTGAACCTCTCGTGTGGTGGCGGCGTGCCGTCCTCCCATCCTCCCTTGGTCGGTCTCGGGGCGACGTGGGCGGGGTAGTCTTTGAGAGAGAGCGCGACTCGAGGAGAGCGATGAGTGAGCGGGAGCTCTATACATCGCGCTCTCGAGCTCTAAGGACTAAGCCTCTACCTCCGGTGCGTGGACGCCGGAGGTCGGAGCTGTGGCATGATGGCATATATGGCCCCTCGTGTGAGCGCGTGTTGAAAAAAAAGAAGAGATGAGTTCGATTTCTCGCTAACGTCTGGGTGACACATTTCAACACTCTTCTCTCTCGCTCTCACGAGACACCGCGGTCAGAGCATCACCGGCTTTTGGAACGCTCCAAAGTGCACCACCATCGGGGGCGTGCCTCCGGCGAGCTTGATGATCACCTGTGTGAGCGCCGCCAGCCCGCCTCCCGCGATGAGCCCCGCGGCCACAAACGGTCTCCGGCTCGCCAGGCTGGGGCTGCGCCGCTCCAGCCAGGCGGCAACCAGTCCGCCGAGAGCCATCTCCATCGATGAGGCCGCGGGGATCAGCATGCCGATGCCCACGCACATGGGCAGCGGCACGAGGCTGGTTAGGGCGGGGTGCGTCTCGCGCCACCCGCGCGCCTCGAGCAGCGCGTTGGCCACGCTAAGGGCGAGCGCGAGCGCCGCGCCCGCAAACATCCACGCAAATATGTGCCGCGGAAGCTCTCCGCCGCCGGTGGTGGTGACGACTGCGAGCACGCGGTAGATGGGCGCAAAGACGGCCTTGAGCGGGCCGTCCAGCGAGGGGATCTCGAACGCCGCGTTCAGGACGGCGAAACAGGCGGGCACGATCACGCAGCCAAAGGAGGCGCCGATGAGCTGCGCGTAAAACATCTGCGACGGCTTGGCACCCACCATGTACCCCGTCTTGAAGTCGGACATGAGGTCGGCGGCGGCGCCGCACCCTCCGATGGTGACCATACAGAGCGCGAGGGAGGGTATAATCTCTCCCGACGACCGGTTCCACGCGCCGAACGCGAACATGAGCAGCTTCCCGAAGGAAGCGCACATGTTCCAGTCGGCCAGTCCGACGGCCTGCATGATTGCGACGGCAAACACGGGGATGATGGCGATGGCGGTCACCGTCTGATACCACTGGACTTGGAAGGCGAGTTGCATGATGGCTACGCAGCCCGCCCCAAAGGCCAGGTATCCCATCGGCGACGTCCAGGCCGGCAGCGCGCGGTCATCAAGGAAGAGCCGGTCGAGCGCCTTCGTCGCGGCCGAGGGCTCGGGGCCGGCGGGGCGCGTCGCCTTGCTGGTTGCCTCGTGTGCTAGCATGCGCACTAACTCGCAGATGGAGTAGCAGCCGTCCGCGAGCATGATACCGAGGCCAGTGAACACGATGTAGCCGAACGAGCCGACGTAGACGGACGGCGCCGCCTCGTCGTCAAACCAGTAGGGGCAGGCCTCGTCGCTGCCGCCGATCCACGCCTCGCAGTCCCCGCTGCGCACCTGCACCAGGTAGGGCGTGAAGACGCCGTATGCCAGTACCGCGCCCAGGAGGATGCTGTAGTTGACACGGCCGCCGAGCATGATCCCAAGCGCCGGCTGCGACACGTCCCAATCGAATGTCCAGCCAAACTCGGCGGCGGAAAGGCCAAAGACGGGCCAGGATTGGATTCCCTCGAAGCACCAGAGGTACATCTGCAGCGCATAGGCGAGGCCAAAAGCCCGAAGCGAGGTGCGGCCGTTGGAGGCGGCCTCGCCACTAGTCTCGTGCAGCGAGCGGATGATGAGGGCCGCGCAGGTGCCGCTTGGATAGGTGAGGCGCTGACGCACAATCATCGAGTCCTTCAGCGGCCACGCGACGAAGGAGCCGAACAGGCCGACCGCGACACACCACATCACGCAGGTGGGGAAGGTCAGCTCGGCAGTGTTGCCCGGCCCGACCGCATTCCCCTCCAGCCTGGCTCCGCCCGTCACCTCGTAGCTTTTGATGGACATGGCCAGCAATCCAGAGTTGAAGCCGAGGGCCGCCAGGCTCGCCGTCGCCGTCGCCGCGGTCTGCGCCACCGCATTCTCCTGCTCGGTGAACGTTCCTCCGAACAGGCGGACCGAGGTGCGGCACAGCAGGTAACTTCCGAGGCCGGCAGAGAGGTTGAGCGCGGGAAACACGCCCGTCTTGAGGCCGTAGTAAAGGAGGAGGAAGGCATTGAGCGTGCCGACCACGACGCCGGCTGTGACGGCCTTGAGCGTGAGGGCCGGGGCGGCAGCGCCGGGTGCGAGCGCCGGCGCGCCAAGCAGGGACTCGCTCGCCGATGGAAGCATGCCCTCGCGAGGAGAGGAGCGGGGACAGCTGGAAGCGCCAGCGCTCGGTTGGAGCAGCGGAATGGCGCCAGCGCCCGCCCCCTCTCGGAAGCTCCGTCGCGGGTCGTTGAGCGCACGTCTCAACAGAAGAGATGCCACGATGCCACGGGAAAAAGGCCAAGGAAAACAATGTGCTAAATGTCAGAAAGAAAAACTCGCCCAGCGAGGGTTACGAGGCTCTCTGTCGTCTGCTCTCTGTTGGTGCTCCTGCCGCCCGCGCGAGAGCGTCGCTGCACACCCATGGTGTTCTTCATCTGCGAGACAACCAACGAGTGCATCAAGAAGCCAAAGGTGGAGGCGCACATGCGCAAACACCCCAACGCGTGGGTGTTCTGCTGCATGGATTGCGGCGCGCGCTTCGAGGGAGAGGCGTACAAAGAGCACACGTCGTGCATGTCAGAGGCGCAGCGATACGAGGGCAAGTTCTACGTGCCCAAGGAGAACAAGGGCGAGAAGAAGCAGCAGAGCTGGATGGAGAGTGTTCTTGCCGCCCTCGAGGCGGCGCCTGCAGCTAGCGCCGGCCTCAAGTCGTACGTCGACCGGCTGACGCAGTACGACAACCTGCCGCGCAAAAAGGCTAAGTTCGTCAATTTTGCGAAAAACTCGCTCAACCTCAAGGCGGACCGCGAGGGCATCGCCGAGAAGCTCTGGGCTCTGATCGAGTCGGCCGCGGCCGCGCCAGCGCCCACTGCTGCCGCCACCGCTCCTGCTGCTCCTGCTCCTGCTCCTGCTCCTGCGGCGGCGGCGGCGGTGCCTGCAGCAAAGGGCCCGGAGGTGGATGCGACGGGCAAGGGCGGGAGTGAGAAGGAGGAGAAGGCGGCGAGGAAAGCGGCCAAGAAGGCGGCCAAGGCGGAGAAGGCGGCGGCGGCGGAGGGTGAGGCGGAGGGTGCGGCGGAGGCGGAGAAGAAGAAGAAGAGGAAGAAGGGCGGCACGGCGGACGGCGCGGACGGCGCGGATGGCGCGGCGGGCGCGGCGGACGGCGACGGCGCGGCGGGCGCAGCGGGCGGGGAGCGCAAGCGGCCGCGCGAGGAAGAGGCGGGCGGCGGCGGAGGCGCGAGGAGTGGGGGGAGCCGCTTGCCAGTGCGCGTGGCGGACGTGTCCCGACCCTCGCCCTGTAGGCGCGGGCAAGAAGCCCGTCAAGTGGAAGAAGATCGTCGCAAAGGAGCTGACGAGCGCGGGCGGGTCGATGAGCCTAAAGGCGCTGCGGAAGGACTGCGTCGCTGAGGTGCCGCCGGCCCGGCCGCACGCCTCCCGCCTGTGCACCCCCCACCAGCGGCACGATGACGAGTGAACTGTTCTCATTGACCTGAGCGGCCCCCTGCGAGGGGGGCCAAGTGTGATTGAGACACGCACCTGTCCACATGATCCGAGTGCATCGCCCAATTGACCTTGGCGCTACCCCGGCCCAAACCCCTCGGAAGCACGGAAGAGCAAGTGAGGGAGAGAAGTCGCGGAACCCGCCCGCCTCAGCGCGAGATCATCGGCCTGGCAGGGCGGCTGGCCTGCGCTCCCCCCCCCCCCCCCCCCCGCCCACCCGCCCGCCCGCCCGCCGCCCTTGACCCGGCAGCCTTGTGCCCTCGACCACACACCCTGACCCAGCCCCCCTTGCACACAGGTGCTGGCGCACCCGAGCCACGGCGACCGCAAGCGCGCCGAGCTGACGGAGGAGTTTGACCGCGAGATGCCGCGCTTCAAGCGTTTCCTTGTCGATGGCGGCAAGGTATCCTTTGCGCCCGAGGGCGAAGCCGAGTCTTAGCTGGGGCGGAGAGAAAGTAGCGAGCCTCCCGGGGCCATCGGGTTGCCATGACGGTCGAGATTGGGCGGTTCGTGCGTCGCGCGGCGCCGCCGGCAGCGGCACCTGCGCGCTGCGGTGCGCCTTTACGTTCAGACATCAGACTTCAGTACGTCGTGTGAGAGATATTGTGTGCTCGATGCGCCGCGTGTGCTGCGGGCCACGCCGGTCTCGCCGGAAGCGAGCTCAAACTTTCGCACAAAAAAAAGTAATATATCTTCACTTCCAACACCCGGACGTTCCCAGGGTGATGGAAGGTTCGACGCACCCCCGGAGGCGGAGCACTCGGGGCGGAGACCAGATTCCCAGGGTATACAGTAGACTCTGGGCTGTCCGCCCCGCCCCCACTTGCCCTGACTGCACAGGATAGCGTGCCCCGACAAACGGCGACACATAGCGGGGGACACTGCGCCGGGGGGGGTATGCCTAACTTTGGTGCTTTGTGTGGGACTGTGGGTCGCGTTCCCATGGTAGTTGTGTGGCTGAAGCCCTCCGTGCCGCTGGCTTGCCCCTTCCAGCGGCTGGCCCCTCGAGACTTGGCGGTAGGAGGGGGAGAGGGAGGCCCGTCCCCCCAGCGTCTGCTTGAGAGCAGACGCTCCGGTAATCAGGCCGAGAGTACCAGGCAGGTGGGGAGAAGAGCCCAGGGAGGGGAGAGGAGAAGAGCCCAAAACTTTCGCACAAAGAAAAGTAAGCTGAAAGCTCACGACACAAGACACGCACTGTCACTGAGTCACATATATAGTTATATAGTGGTGTTAGTGCGAGGACGGGTCGGCGAGGGGCTCACGGCGGGGTCGCACACGGCAGGGGTGACGGGGCCGCTGTGGAGCGATGTGGTCAGGGGAACGACGAGACACAAATGGGACAAGCGCCAGCGGATCAAGGATCAGCACGGCGAGCGCGAGATTGAATTCGCCGACGTGGATGATCACAACGTGGTGACAAAGACCGTCATGGGAGCGCGTGTGCGGCAGCAGGCGGGGGTGCCACACGGAGCGCACCACGAGAGGATTGTGCGGGGAGAGGCGGGGAGAGAGACCCCGGGCGCCGCCACAAGGAGAGCGAACTCAGGGGCTGCCTCGTCTGTAAGGCCGTGAGGGACGCGGCGAGGAGGGCGGCACTAAAGCGAGACCCGCTGTGTCCGACCGTGCGGAAAGCCGTGCAGCAATGGACCGAGGAAGATGATAACCCGCCTAGAGCGACGATGGCGCACTTGCTTAGCGGCGCCTGCCTGGGGAATAGGGAGCAGGCCAGATGGTCCTCAGAGTAGCGCGAGCGCAGGACGGGGACGGCAATCAGCAAAGTAGCCCAGGCGGCACCCGACTCCAAGGATACGCTGAAGACGCTGAGGATAGCGCATGTCGCTGCGCTGAAGGGCTCACGCTATAGGGTGCTGGATGAGGACGGGTACGATGCACTAGCCCCAGCCGTCGGGGGGGTGTTGCCGGCGCTGGTAGATGATCTCTCGGAGAAGAGTCGGAGGGACCTTGGCGCCGGGGTCACGAGGAACTTGCAAGTCGTGGCCGAGGCGGCGACGGGAGCGGTGCAGAGGTGGATCCAGCTCAATGATGAGGCTACGGCGCGCATAATGAAGAGAGAGGAACACATCGAGAGTGGCTGAGGAAGCTCTTCACTGGGTGGAAAGAGGCTCGGCCGGCCTTGAGGGAGTCGCGGAGGAGGAGGGATAACGCAGGCAACGCAGGGACGGGCCAACAGCCAGTGGGACGAACGAGGGCCGCGACGGGGGCTCAAGCGGGAGGGAGCGGAGACGGTGGGCAGCGAGCAAAGCGTGGGTGAGACTGATGATGCTCCTTCGACTTAGGGAGCGGTTCAGCTGCTGGGCGGGCTTCAGGCTGGTGCTCACACGAAAAGGAATCGACGCGATGTGCAAAGCATACAAGAAGGGGAGAAGGAAGAGGAGAGACGCCGGTGAGGACGAAGCAGAAACTAGCGCAGACGAGAGCAGGGCAGACCCGGGGACTGGGGAGCAGTAGCAGACGGCATCGGCCGCCGAGGGAACGTTGGGAAGAGGCACGAGGAGGGCGGCGACCTCAACCGACTATGGAGGACCCGTCGCCAGACGACGCAGGGCAGACGATGTGGAGGCGGAGCAGACGCGCAGGGCGAGACAAGGGAGGGAGCAGGACTTTGCGGAGATCAGCAGGAGGATGTACGAAGAGATTAGGAGCAGCAGGGACCCGAGGGACCATGTGGAAGACGGCTAGTGCTAGTCCCCCCATCGGGAGGACGACCCCGGCTAGCCGCCGACCACACCCACAAAGAACCCTGCACAAAGATCGCACGGGCGGGGACCTGTTCCTTTTAGCTTTTTACCCGAATCTCACAGTAGAGAGGTGTCCGTTTTTATTTATTTATTTATGTCACTGAGTCACACACATCTCGGACTCCGCGCGGTGGACTCCACTCGCGCGGCGCGGGAACCCGGAGTTGCGGGCAAGCCCCCGCCCAACCCGAGCGTGTGAGAACCTCGCGCGCTTCGGTTCCTCGGAATAGTCGGATCTTCGGTCCGTCGGTGCGTAGGCGGTATGTACGTCAAAAAAACGCGACACCGGTCGGACCGCGCGCTGACTCTCTCACACTCTCAGAGAGTCTCGTCACAAGCAAAGCCACACACTGTGTCACACAAGGCTCACACTCACTCAGTGAGCGAGACCGCGCCGCGCGCGCGCGCACACACAGCAGCGCGCCGCGCATTTTACTCGAACCGAGGAGCACTTTTGGCTTTTCTCGGCTCCGCGCTCTGTCTCCACAGGGCTGGACCCCCCCCCCCTCCCCCCTCCACCCACCCCAAACCACCACCGCCACCACCCCCGCCGAGCTGGGGCGTCACACGCGTCGCGGTGCTGTCCCCCGCCCGTCCGCATCCCGGTCCCCCGCCCCGGCATCTCGTCGCCCTCGTGTCGCTCACTCGGAGCGCTCCTTGGAGGGCGAGAAGAGGCCCAAAGACTGCGCAGTCATCGTCATGCGGCGCGCCTTGCGCTGCGCTCCCGCCACCACCGAGGCAACGGTCTGGCTGAAGGCGACGTTCTCCTCCGAGCTCAGGTGCAGCTGGGCGGCGAGAGAGGGGCGGCGGTGAGGGAGGGCGGGGCGGCGGCCAGCAGCTGCGAGGGAGGCAGGAGACCCGGCAACGAAGGGCGACGGGAAGGGCGGCGGCGGTGAGGGCAAGGGGTGGTGCGATCTCGGTCGATCTCGCGCCTTGACCGCAAGGCCGCCGAAGAGCGTCGCCAGCCCCATCGAAGTCCACGAGAGGCGGTACCAGATCGTCAGCGCCTGAGGGCGGGGGTGGGGAGGGCGGTGAGGGAAGCGCGGGAGAGAGCGGGAGAGGGAGAGGGAGGGCCGAAAAGGGAAGGGGGCGCACCGCCAGCGCCGCGGCGTACTTTGCCTGCGGCATGTCGCCTACGACATGGCATGGACGCGTCGAGCCATTGTCCTGCACCGCGCCGCCTCTGCGCGCCGCCGCTTCTCGCCGGTCACTGCGCCGACCTTGGCCCGCGCGAGGGCGGCCCAAGCGACGGCGGCGGCGGCGATGGCGGCGCGCGCCTCGTCGACCTTCTCCCGGTGGTTCGGCACCAGCGGCAGCCCGGCGGCGGCCGTGAAGGCGGCCCAGGCGAGGGTGAAGAGCGAGAAGGGCCGGAGAAGGTGCGCGCCGAGCCAGAGCGAGAGGCCGAGGCGGAGGGTGAGGGCGGCGTCGCCGGAGCGGACGCGGTGGAGGAGGGCGGCCGCGAGGTTGAGGATCTTGACCGCGCGCGCGACCGCCGGCGCCACGTCGAACTCGCTGATGGAGGGCGGCGGGCCGGGAGCGCGCTTGGAGAGGAGCGACGTGAGCGAAGCGCTGACGACCGCTGCGAGTGCGGCCCACGAGCCAAGCGAGGCGACGGAGACGTCGAGGCACTGGATGGCGATGAATATGGCTTGTCCGCCGCCAAAGAGGGCGGCCTCGGAGCGGCCGGCGAGGGAGGAGGTGGTGGCCGTGATGGGCGGTGGAGCGGGTGGCGTCGGCGGGGGCGGGGTTGGCGTACTCGGCGGCGGAGGCGGCTTCGTAGCAATCTCCGCGCGGATGAGGTTGGCGTCGATTGGCAAGAGGGCCGGCATATGTTCAAATGGGTTGAGAAAAACACCCCGGCCTGAGACTGAGCACGGGACTGGCGCGTTAAAAAGGGTTGAGCTGCTATCCAAGTACATTCGTAAAGCCCCTCTCACAAAAGACAAACACAAAAGACTGGCCCCTCAGATGTGAGATGAGTGGTCAGATGAATAGTGCCCGAGAGCGAGGGATCCGGAGCGCGGAGGGGAGCACAAATAGGAGGCCCATTTGTCCTGCCCTCGTGCCGCCGATAGTGCGTATCCTATGTGAGAGAGATCCCCTCGCGGGGACGCGGGGTGCGGACTGGCGCGTGCCGGTGGCACGAGAAAAAATTCCGGGAAATTCTAGATGGGTGGCAAACTGTGTACAACACCTCTCACCTCTCATCCGCCTGCGTGCACACCCTCAGGCGAGGCTCCACGCCGGCCCTTGTTGTTGGAAAGCCCTCGTTGGGGCGGCGTTTCCGCGGCGAATGCCGCCTTCCCCTTGCCATGCCGGCCAGCGGTGGTGTTCACCACCGTGACCGGCCAAAGCTCCGAGACGGCCAGCGAGCGGCAGAGCCCGTCGCCTGCGCGCGACGAGCAGTTTGCCCGGGCGTAGCGCGTCGCCAGCTCGTCGGGGTCCTGTGTGGGCGGGCGGGAGGGCGAGTTCACCGCACGCGTGTGGGCTGCGACTCGCGGGTGCGGCGAGCGGCCAAGGCAGGCACGAGTTCACCGCACTGGCCTTGCCCTGATGCAGACCCTTGTGGCGCCGCAGAATCCCGTCGGGCAGCACCTCGAAGACCGTCGAGGAGAAGTACTGCTGATTCTTGCCGCGCAGGGCGCCATACTGCTCCTTGTTTCGCCCCACGCGAGCCACTTCGGTCAGCACGGCGTGCAATGGCGGCCAGCGAAGCTCGACGTCTTGGTCGCGCTGCTTGAACCTAGGGCTTGCTCGTCGCATGATTAGGACGAGGGTCCGCCCATGCAGCGGAAACGCAGGCGTGGCCGGTCACATGAGGGACTTCCAGCTGGTGCGCCAGTCGGCGTACATCCCGGCCTCCGTCATGAGCCACGGGCTGCGCACCAAGGCCGGGTCCTTGATCATCACCCCCCACCAAAAGTAGCCTGCCCGCGGGGCGGCGGGGTGGGAGAGGGAGAGAGGGGCCAGGTGCCAGCGAGTCGGCGAGCGGCGGCGTCGGCGCGCCGTAGCCAGACAGGGTCGAGATGAAGGGGTGCCACTGGTTGGCGTACAGCTTGTCGGCGTCGCTGCCCCGCACCTCCACCACGGACGACTGGTACGGCATGAAGACGGCATTCATCTCGCCCGAACCGTGCGTCGCGACGAGGACGTCAGTCTCCTGCAGCACCGCGAGGTCCTGCACGAAGGGGCGAGAGCCCAAGGCGTAGGACTGGCACTCGACGCTGGCGGGCCGCCCACCCCACCCCCGGCGCCAGTCATCCGCGCCGGGGGCATTCCCGCTCGCGTGAAGCCGCCGCCAGCTGCTCCCGCCGAACGGGCGCTTGGACGCGGCGCACGCGCGGAGGAGCGAGTCGAAGCCGATGAGCATCCGTGCGTTGCCGACGTTGCGCTGCTCAAAGAGGATTCGCATCACGCCGGGGCGCGGCGGCCGCAGGCTCAGCCAGAAGGGCGGCGACCGGCGCAGCTGCGACGAGTAGTAGGCAGCCACGGCCTTGCCGACGGTGGGCAGGCGGCCCCGAAAGTTGTCCTGGTTGGCCTTCCAGACCACCAGGTGTCGAAAGCACCGGACGTGGGTGCCCTCGAACGTGCTTCTGCTTGGCGTCGACGGAGGGTGGCGCGCGCTCAGCTCGGCAAAGGAGATCGGTTCCAGGCTCGAGAAGGCGCGCATGATGTCGTAGTTGAACCGGGCGGGGGCCAGCTTGAGCGGATTCACGAGGACGATGGTCATGTTGGGCGACAGGTTGCCCGCCTGCTGGTGGTAGTGGAAGGCTCCCGGCACCCGGGCGAAGAATTCGCAGAGCGTGTTTGGCCAGAACGCGCTCACCACGAGAGGGACGGTGCAGTGGCTGAAGTTGGGCGCTGCCTGCACCTCCTCGGGCGACGCCAGCCTCGCCTCGATGTTGGGCCATGCGCGAAGCAGACGGCCCACGACGCGGTCGCGCAGCTGCGCGTGCGGATCCTCTGCGTACGGCGAGTCGGCTCCCAGCGCCTCGTGTGCCGCCCGCTGCGACGCCTGTCTGTAGAAGTACAGCAGGTCGTCGGACCATGCGATGTCGGGCAGGTCGGGCAGGGCCGTCGAGGGGCCGTCGGGGCGCTCAGCAAAGCGGCGCGGGTCGTACGAGATGATGGTCTCTTGGTCGACGCACGCGTACTCGAAGACCTCCACCCGAGAGAGCAGAGTCGCAGCCCCATTCTTCTTGAGCTTCTGCGTGTACGACACCGCTTGCTTCATCCGGTTGAAGTCGAACCCGGCAGCATCCCACGGGCACTGCTCGCCGCCGGCAGTGGTGCCGGCATGCGGGCCAGACTGCGGGCCGATGTGGCGAACGGGAAGCTTGCCCGCGGCGCGAGCACGGCGGGGTGCCTTGCTCGCGGCAGGCATGTGTTTCGAGCGTGAGTGCAAAACTTGAATGAAACGAACGTCCTATGGCCCCTACAAACCTCGCTCGAGAGAAGGCCGCCCGAGGGCCCAAGCAGAGGAAGGTCGCGGCGAATTCTTTTCCGCTCTCGGGTAGCTATACTCGCTCACTGTCTGGTATAGCCCCAGCCGACTCCGCGTGAACTCTCGAGGGATCTCGAGTTGCGGAGCGTCTGGCTCGACAGTAGCAGTTCAATGGCGATTTCGAGTACCTCGCTCCGGCGGAGGCCGCACAGGGCTGCTGAAGCCTCCTCTGGCAATACTGAGGCTCTGCTCGTCGGAGTTGGACGAGTGTGTGAAGGCCGCGGGCGCCAGCACGGAATACGGTGTGTGCTGCGCCGCAGCGCGCGCTGCACACACCGTATTCTGACCCGAAGCCTCGGGCGCCCTCGAGAGAGGCGCTCGACGTCACATTGACGAGTGGCCCCTGGTGGCCCCGCCTCAGCAAGCTCAGAGCTGATACTGAGATGGCGGCCTGGCACGGTCCACCGGTCGCTGCGACCGGGCACTCGACCGCCTGCGCGAGCTGGTCTGCGCAAGTCCTGCGCAGCTCGGACGTCGACGCGAGCCAATCCGATGCCTTTGATCGACCGATGCGAGCTCGCGCGCGCGCGCAAAACGCGCGGATCTACGCCTTTGGCGCGGCTGCACCGCCAGCGCGCGGCGTGGCGCGCAGAGTGGACGAACATACCAGGCCAGAGTCTGGGGCTCTGCTGCGCAGAGCTGACGCGCAGAGGGGGAGAGAGGAAGAGGTGTGTCCTCGGACGCGCGCCACTGCTTTTTTAAGATCGTATTATGGTGAAGGAACACTACGGCAACTCTCCGACACCCGCACTCGCCACTCTCGAGGTACACTCTCACCAATGCGCGCTTATGCGTCGCGCTCAAACTCGACGTCGCTCGCATCCGCGCGCACGACCGCATCGCAGCTGTGGGCGCCGGCCAATGAGTGCCAGGTGGGTGCTCCAGGGGAGGCCGCCGAGAGTTTGCGAGGAGCATGACCTCGCCAGGCTCGCCACGGCGGTGAAGTTGAAGCGACTGTCGCTGCAGACGCTCCCTGCTGCTCGGAGTACGAACTCTGTTCACACCGAGCAGCTGGGAGTGGCTGCGGCTATCTCTTAAGTGGCGGCCAGAAGATCCGCCCTGGGATCTTCGGCGCAGGGCGCCGTCACCGGCCCCATGAGCCCCCTACGAGGCCATTCAGTGCTCATGTGGCACGACCTGAGCAGGCCTAGCAATGCCTCGGGCCGAGCGGCGCCCAGAATTGTTGGTGCTGGCCAGCAACGTGGCCGGCGAGTGCCGTCGTTGCATTGGTGGCGACCACCGCTGAAGCGGTCAGCAGGTGGGAAGGCATCGCTCTCTTTGTGAGGGTATTGTACGTATTCATTGTCTGGTCAATACTTCTGCCTGGGTGGCACCTGTGTGCCCAACATGGCGACCCGTGGCCTCCCTCGTGAGTCCACCTCGCGCTGATCATTCTCGTCGCTAGCTCAAGCCGAAAAAGTGGTCCACCGACACCAGGAGGAGTACAACCATCATGGCCGCAGCCTCAGACTGACCGGGTTAGGTCATCTTACCGGCTTGGTGGCCCAGAAGCGCGACATTTGCTGCCCGCAGAGCGCTAGCAGCCCACTAGCCGGCACGTCTGTGCGTCGTGCGGGGCTGAACTTCAGGCACTCTGCACGCGGCTTGTCGTCTAGAATAGCTCAACCCCGGCCAGTGAGTGATGGATCTGATCATAATCAATCCCTACTGTGCTGGGGGGCTCTCAGATCAGCCGTTCAGAGCTCTGACATTGGTTCCCGGCAGAAGATCCTCCAGAGGATCTTCTGCCGTCAGCCGAAAACCCGTTTTCAAACGAGACACAATGACCCAACAATGGCCCCCACGGCCAGCTGGACATGCAGCCGACCCGGCTAGGCCAGCTGGGCCATCGGGGCGGCCACCAGCGGCCGTAGGACCGCGCTGCGGTGTCGAAAGGGGCTGGAAGATCCGCCCTGGGATCTTCGCCACCTATGAGATAGCAGACAGACTCGCTCATCGCTCGCTAAATCGCTCGACAATGCTGGCCGTCGTGTCGACGCCTGCGCCGCCTGCGCCGCTGCTGATGGCGGCGGAGGGCGAGCTCCGCGTCCGGCTGGTGGCGGCGGAGGGCGAGGCCCGCGCTGCGAAGGCCGCGCTGCGCGAGTCCGAGGCGCGCTGGAGGCGCGAGGTGGGCGGCTCTCAGCAGGAGCGGATGCGGCTCCGGGCCGAGGTGGGCTCTCTGCTCCAGCGGCTGAACACGAAGAGCACAGCGCGGGAGGGCGAGGGCCCGCCCTCGCCGAAGCGCGCCCGCACGGGCGTCACGCCCGTGGGCAGCGGCGGAGGAGCGGCCCAAGGCGCGGGCCTGCTCAGCCAGACCGCGGTCTACGCCATGTACCACGACGCCGAGGCGCTCGTGCGCGAAGAGCGTGCGCGCGCCGACGCCGCCGAGGCGCAGCTCAGCCGGCTGGCCGACCGGGTGCAGGCCGCGCTGCCAGTGTACCAGGAGCGCTCCTCGCGCCTCGACTCTGTTCTCGAGGCCAACGCCGCCCTCTCGCAGCGCGCGGCGGAGGCGGCGCGGCAAGTCGAGGCGACGAAGCGCGAGGCCGCACGGCTACGAGTGGAGGCCACCGTGCTCCGCTCGCTGGCCGACGAGCAAACCTCCGCCCTCGCTGAGGCGCTCGGCGAGGCCGGCGCAGGCGGCGCTGCGGGCAGCGGCGCTGCCGGCAGCAGCGCTGCCGGCGCGGGTGGCGCCTCCTTGACGGTGCAGCTGTCCGAGGCTCGAGAGGCGCTGCTGCGGGAGAGGCTCGGGCACGAGCAGGAGAGGCTCGGGGCGGTGGCCGAGGCGGAAGGAGCGCTGCGGGCGCGGCTGGAGGAGAGCGAGTCGGCATGCGCGGGCGCGAAGGAGCAGGCGGCCGCCCTGGCGCAGAGGCTGGCGGCGGCGGAGGCGGCGGCGGGCCAGTGGCGGGCCATGTATGAGGCAAGCATCTCGGCCGCGCTGGAGGAGAGGGAGGCTGCCGGCGGCGCCACCCCTCCTACGATCCCGCAGCTGGACGAGGTGCGAGCTCTGCTTCGCGCGGGCGCCAGCGGCCTGCTCGAGGAGGAGCGGCGGCGCCTCGGCGCGGGCAACAACACCGATGCGCTCGAGGCGAAGCTCAAGGAGAACGAGGCGGCCACGGAGAAGCTGCGCAAGGCGGCGGCCTTCTGGAAGGGCAAGTTCGAGAAGCTCAAGGCAGAGGGTGCCGCGCCGCCGCCGCCCGCCGCAGCCGGCGGCGGCTCGGCCGCGGGCGAGAGCGAGCAGCTGCGGGAGGAGGTGGAGGCGGCCAAGGCGGCGGGCGCGGCCGCGGCGACGCGAGTGGCCGAGCTCGAGCGCGGGCTCGCGGAAGCCGAGGCTCGCGCTCTCGCCGCAGAGTCCTCCCTTGCCACCGCGGCAGCGAGCACGCCCGCCGAGGAGGGCTCCGCCGCCGCCTCCGAGGTTGCGGCGCTGAGCGAGAAGCTCTCGGCGGCCGAGGCGACGTCCGAGAAGATGCGCAAGGCGGCGGCACACTGGAAGGCGAAGCATGCGGCCGCGGCAAAGGAGGCGGCGGCGGCGGCGCAGGCGGCGGCAGAGGCGGCGCCAGCCGAGGGCGGGTCGGCGGAGGGCGGGTCGGCGGAGGGCGGGTCGGCTGACTCTGCGGGCCAGGTGGCTGCGGCGGAGGCGGCGGCGGAGGCGGCGAGGACGGAGGCGGCGGCGGCGGGCGCTGCGAAGGCCGAGGTCGAGGCGAGGCTGGCGGAGGCGGAGGCGAGGCTGGCGGCGGCGGCGGAGACGGAGACGGAGACCGAGACGGCGGCGAGTCAGCTGGCGGCGGCAGAGGCAACGTTGGAAAGGTTGCGGCCCAGCAACATCGCATGTGTGCTGGCAGACCGGCGCGTCGTCTGTTGTGTAGGCGGCCAAGGCGGAGGCGGTTGCCGCGAGCGCTGCCTCCGCCTCCGAGGTTGCGGCGCTGAGCGAGAAGCTCTCGGCGGCCGAGGCGACGTCCGAGAAGCTGCGCAAGGCGGCGGCCCACTGGAAGGCGAAGCATGCGGCCGCGGCAAAGGAGGCGGCGGCGGCGGCGCAGGCGGCGGCAGAGGCGGCGCCAGCCGAGGGCGGGTCGGCGGAGGGCGGGTCGGCGGAGGGCGGGTCGGCTGACTCTGCGGGCCAGGTGGCTGCGGCGGAGGCGGCGGCGGAGGCGGCGAGGACGGAGGCGGCGGCGGCGGGCGCTGCGAAGGCCGAGGTCGAGGCGAGGCTGGCGGAGGCGGAGGCGAGGCTGGCGGCGGCGGCGGAGACGGAGACGGAGACCGAGACGGCGGCGAGTCAGCTGGCGGCGGCAGAGGCAACGTTGGAAAGGTTGCGGCCCAGCAACATCGCATGTGTGCTGGCAGACCGGCGCGTCGTCTGTTGTGTAGGCGGCCAAGGCGGAGGCGGTTGCCGCGAGCGCTGCCTCCGCCTCCGAGGTTGCGGCGCTGAGCGAGAAGCTCTCGGCGGCCGAGGCGACGTCCGAGAAGCTGCGCAAGGCGGCGGCACACTGGAAGGCGAAGCATGCGGCCGCGGCAAAGGAGGCGGCGGCGGCGGCGCAGGCGGCGGCAGAGGCGGCGCCAGCCGAGGGTGGGTCGGCGGAGGGCGGGTCGGCGGAGGGCGGGTCGGCTGACTCTGCGGGCCAGGTGGCTGCGGCGGAGGCGGCGGCGGAGGCGGCGAGGACGGAGGCGGCGGCGGCGGGCGCTGCGAAGGCCGAGGTCGAGGCGAGGCTGGCGGAGGCGGAGGCGAGGCTGGCGGCGGCGGCGGAGAGTGCCAAGGCTGAGACGGCGGCGGCGGAGGCGGCCAAGGCGGAGGCGGAGGCGATCGGCAACGCCAAGGCAGCACGCGCGCACGCGGCGGCCACTTGAGAGTTCGGACAGGGAAGTCGTACGTTGCGGCACATCGATAGGTGGAGGCGGAGGCGGTGGCCCAGAAGATGCGCAAGGCGGCGGCACACTGGAAGGCGAAGGCGGAGGCGGCGCAGCAGGCAGCGCCGGCCGAGGGGTCTGACGCTGCGAGCCAGGTGGCTGCGCAAGGGGGGGAAGGAAGGGGGAGGGCAGTAGCAACAGCGGAGACGGGAGAGTAATGCTGACTCTGCGAGCCAGGTGGCTGCGGCGGAGGCGGCGGCGGAGGCGGCGAGGACGGAGGCGGCGGCGGCGGGCGTTGCGAAGACCGAGGTGGAGGCGAGGCTGGCGGAGGCGGAGGCGAGGCTGGCGGCGGCGGCGGAGAGTGCCAAGGCTGAGACGGCGGCGGCGGAGGCGGCCAAGGCGGAGGCGGATGCGATCGGCAACGCCAAGGCAGCACGCGCGCACGCGGCGGCCACTTGAGAGTTCGGACAGGGAAGTCGTACGTTGCGGCACGTCGATAGGTGGAGGCGGAGGCGGTGGCCCAGAAGATGCGCAAGGCGGCGGCACACTGGAAGGCGAAGGCGGAGGCGGCGCAGCAGGCAGCGCCGGCCGAGGGGTCTGACGCTGCGAGCCAGGTGGTTGCGCAAGGGGGGGAAGGAAGGGGGAGGGTAGTAGCAACAGCGGAGACGGGAGAGTAATGCTGACTCTGCGAGCCAGGTGGCGGCGGCGGAGGCGGCGGCGGAGGCGGCGAGGACGGAGGCGGCGGCGGCGGGCGTTGCGAAGGCCGAGGTCGAGGCGAGGCTGGCGGAGGCGGAGGCGAGGCTGGCGGCGGCGGCGGAGAGTGCCAAGGCTGAGACGGCGGCGGCGGAGGCGGCCAAGGCGGAGGCGGAGGCGATCGGCAACGCCAAGGCAGCACGCGCGCACGCGGCGGCCACTTGAGAGTTCGGACAGGGAAGTCGTACGTTGCGGCACGTCGATAGGTGGAGGCGGAGGCGGTGGCCCAGAAGATGCGCAAGGCGGCGGCACACTGGAAGGCGAAGGCGGAGGCGGCGCAGCAGGCAGCGCCGGCCGAGGGGTCTGACGCTGCGAGCCAGGTGGTTGCGCAAGGGGGGGAAGGAAGGGGGAGGGTAGTAGCAACAGCGGAGACGGGAGAGTAAGGAAGGGGGAGGGTAGTAGCAACAGCGGAGACGGGAGAGTAATGCTGACTCTGCGAGCCAGGTGGCGGCGGCGGAGGCGGCGGCGGAGGCGGCGAGGACGGAGGCGGCGGCGGCGGGCGCTGCGAAGGCCGAGGTCGAGGCGAGGCTGGCGGAGGCGGAGGCGAGGCTGGCGGCGGCGGCGGAGAGTGCCAAGGCTGAGACGGCGGCGGCGGAGGCGGCCAAGGCGGAGGCGGAGGCGATCGGCAACGCCAAGGCAGCACGCGCGCACGCGGCGGCCACTTGAGAGTTCGGACAGGGAAGTCGTACGTTGCGGCACATCGATAGGTGGAGGCGGAGGCGGTGGCCCAGAAGATGCGCAAGGCGGCGGCACACTGGAAGGCGAAGGCGGAGGCGGCGCAGCAGGCAGCGCCGGCCGAGGCGGGCCAGAGCGCTGACCAGCCCAACGAGGCTGCCGACCAGACCTCCCGCGTGGCGGAGCTGGAGAAGAAGCTGGAGAGCATGGAGGCGGCCGTGGAGAAGCTGCGGAAGGCGGCGCGCCACTGGAAGTCGAGGTTCGATGAGGTTTCGGGGGCCAAGCAGAGCTCGTAGGCTCAGGCGCACGGCGTGAAATGCTCCGATATGCGCACGCACGCGTGCACACGTTCGTTGTACGGTATCGGTTTGTTTTGGCGCCCCCCCTGCCAAAACTCCCTCGCACAACACTGGGCCGCGGTGACTCGAGGAGGCCGCCGGGGCCCGGGCGCGTGTCTTGAAGGTCCGATACTGGAAGCCCATGCAGGCCTGTGCGTGGGCATAAAAAGAATTTCACAACAAAGCTCCCTCGAGGACGCGCACACTTGGCACGCGCACGGGACTGGCGCGAAAAAGAAATGTCGAGTGCGTTCCTCGATAGGCCACCTCCGCTCAGCGTGACTGGTGCTGCTCCGGCTCCGGCTCCGGCCTTGCTGCCGCTCGTCCCCGCGGCCTCGAACCTCCCTGTGTCCTCCCGTTGTTCCCATGCACCCGGCTCTGTGCGCAAGCCATGGCTACCTCCGCAGCAGCGCTCATCCGTTCTACTCCACTCGCTTGAGCTACGGAGCAGATGTCTGCCCGCTGATGCCTCGTCGCGCAAAGGAAGCTTATCGCGTTATAGTCCGCCCACCTTCTCCATCGCCCTTCAGAACTGCGAGGGCATGCGTCCCGTGACATCCGCTAGGTGGGGGGCCGATGAACCGGACCACCACCATATCACAAACTCGTGCGTCCCGCTTGAAGCGTAGAGTCTCAAAATGCTGCAGTCCCGGCGCAAGACAGGCGCTGATATATATATATGAAGCTGATCACGTCCCGTGAACCACCGTGAACCACCCAAGAATGTCGACGAGCGAAGAGCGCGACAGCAAGAAGGAGCGGCGGGGCGAGAAGGAGAAAGGAGAGCGGGGCGAGAAGGAGAAGTACGCGCCGCCGCACCGTCGGCGCAGCCGCAGCGCCAGCCGAGAGAAGAGCAAGAAGAAGAAGGAGCGCGGCCGCAGCCGCGAGCGCAAGAAGGAGAAGCGCGCACGCAAGGGCCGCAGCAGCAGCGGCAGCAGCCCGAGCCGGAGCCGCGATAAGCGGCGCGGGCGGAAGGAGCGCGACGAGCGCAGCCGCAGCCGCGACCGCAGTCGCGACCGCAGCCGCCGCAAGGAGCGCGGAGACGGCGAAGAGCGCGGCGACAAGCGGCCGGTCGGCGACATCCTCGACGCCGTCAAGGCGGGCGCGGGCCAGCGGAGCCCGAGGGAGGACAGGGCGGCGCGGCCCGAGGCACCGCCCGAGCCAGAGGGCACGTCGCCCGCGCCCGCCTCGTCGGACCCGGCGGCTGACCGGGCGGCGGAGAAGGCGCGGAAGCGGGCCGCCCGCTGGGACCAAAAGGGGGAGGGGGCGGGCGGGTCGAGCGCAGTGCTCAGCCCCGAGGCGACGCTGACGCCGCTGCAGAAGACGGCGCTGGTGCAGGCGCTGGTGCAGCAGCAGGCGCACGTCACCCGCCCGGCGAGGCGGCTGTACATCGGCAGCCTCCCTCCCGGAGGCATCACCGAGGAAGGGCTGCAGGCACGCCCCGCCCCCGCCCCTCCAGCCAACCCCCCCCCCCCCCCC